CCAAAAAGGAACAGACTCACAGTTGCAATTAGGTGTACCAGATCACGTCGGTCTCACCAATGATGATGTCACAGGTATTCAGTGTTTGACAACGCTTCTACCAGTAATACCTTCTAATGTATTTTGTTCCCACCCAGAGAAATCAAAAGACAGTCGAGGAGATCGGAAGAGTAAATTTGGCGATGACCAATATATCGGAATTCTCTGATCTAATCTGGCTAGCGATTGCGGTTGATGTTGAGCACGGCGTTACCACACGTGATCTGGTGCGGATGCCTGACCGAGCGCCTTCAGCTAGATGAGTCCACTAAAACACATGGTCAGCATCCAATGTCGAAAACTTACAGGGCTATTTATTTTGCGGATTTATTTGCCGCTACAAACTTTTCATAAGTCATGGAGCCTATCGCTCTTTATGGAAAACATCTGTTATCCTCCCTAGATTCAAAACGGTTTCATGTAGCGATATTGCTAACTGTAGGCCTACTAACCTGAAGTTCATGCTATCAAGATCACTCAAAGACAGCCATTATCACTTTTTTCTTCTTCAAAACTGATTAGCCCACCGCAACATGGGTTTTTGACTAGACCCTCATGCTCTATAGGGCACCTGGAATACTTTGGTCAAATTATTCAGGAAAAGGTGCTGGACAATCAATGATATTTCTATTTTGTTCGTTTTTGATCTTGCTATCCTAGAACTCTGAATTTGAGCGTCTGGTCATACAAGGGAATGACGCGTGGTTACTTTTTCAGCATGGCAAACCTAAAAGCTGTCTTTTCATTCTCTTTCATAATAGAAAGCTATATTTCATAAATAAGTTTTACGAGTGGATTAAGTCGTAGAGTTTGTCATTGGATATTGACAACAGTGGATTTATTTACTTTGGTCAAAGCACTAACCTAAATCTGGTCCTAAACAAGCATATACGGAAACCCCTCAGCGTTGTTTATGACGCGGGTGCAAACTACAGCAATATTCTGAATTTTCTAAAGCACACTTCATCTCAATTATCCAGAGCAAGAAATTTTATCGTAAGATCCATTTTGGAAGACTTATGTATGGAAATTACTTTACGTGTACACTTTAAATTTATTCCTCTCGATTCCGCCAGATGTACATTCGATTGATCTTTTGATTACACTTGAGATTGCACCACTTCTATTTTATTCGTTGTTTTTCTTACGCATTCACTGAATTCCCATGTTTTTCCTTAACTACATTTATGCTGTTTTAGTTGATACTTACACATTTTGTCAAGGGTACTAATTATCTCCTCCTTATGACTGTGTTGCTTGGATTGACTGGGAGTGTGCATTTTCATTGTGATTTGAAGCACTCTTGCAGAACTGGAAACAATGTGTGCTTGAACTATCCAGAAAGAATAGAATAACGTCCACTCGAATTATCTATTGATTGAACAACTGAGTGATAATACTTGATTAGAATCGTCATTTACTCAATTATGTTGTTTGATTTTCAATTGGGCAATAGCACATAACTGAACTAGCCTCAACAGTTACTCTCCAATTCAAAACTAGCTTTGGAACTACACTCATAATAATAAATTCCAGTATCTAATCCAGATGGTCACTATACGAAGAGTGTATCATACCTATTTCGATTTACAGTAATTTCAAGCATAATAGTTAATGAAAACTGATGGTGTCCAAAGAAAATTCATCAAAGATGTTTTGGATATTTTGACAAGGATTACCAAAAAAATGTCAACAACTCAAGTTAGATCCTCTCTGGATCAGAAGCATTAATACGAAACTCGTCTTTGTTCACCGTCTCATAAATGATATTTCTTACTTTTCGGCACCCACCCCTTTGTACTCTATGACATCACCCCACAACTTAGGCAATAAGGGAAATATCCTAGAGATTCCGAGAACCTACACAAACTTTAGCCTAAATTTCTTCGTTGTTCACCATTTAACAATGTAGAACAGACTCCCACTGAAAATCCGTTGCAGTGAAACTATAACCTGGTTCAGAAGTCTCCTTAATGACGTTCTTTGCGGAAGTGTTCTCTGTCGCCTAATAAATATCAATGCAATTACCTATGATTCATACAAACATGGTCCTACAGCTAATTAATCGACGGCAAATCAAAATAGGACTTTTGAAACTTTGCTCGTTGATTTCCTTTCTTTCCCTTCCTTTACATCTAAATATCCAGAGTCCGCTAATGTCTGTATTTATCATTATTATTATTATTATCATGATTGACCTCCTGACACGTTAGATAATCTTTTCATGCCTTCTTTTTCTTCAGTCACTTTTCCTTCTAAATATCCAAACTTTATAACTAAAAACACATCATTTTGTGTTACACTTAATTAACTTCTTAGATTCATTTTATCTTCAATGCATATAAATGACTTGTTTACTTTTTACATTCTTTTTTGTTCATTTGGAAATACGTACATAACTGTTTTTTCTTAGTCTGTTTCCACATACACGTCCATTAAATTATTTTCACGTTTATATCATTCATTCCCCCACCCCAAACATTTTCCTTCTTTAAAACCAACTCAATATTGTCTTCGATTCCACAGAGCCTGTTTAAATGTGGTAAATATCATGCTTACATTATTGAAATTTGTGTATTACTACATTTCTGACGAAGCCTAAAATGGTTTCTGCACAACACTTATGTACCAATAAGCGGCTTATGAATAGTACTAAAGGTATAAATAAAACACTTACGTTTGATTCACACGGTTATATGTACTAAATTGTCCTATGTTAGCAGTAGGTGGTATTGTTAGGTGAAGAAAAATCACTCAAGTCAACTGACAAAATAACAAGTAATAAAAATCAGAAGATATCAAAGACCACACCTCCATCCACTAGGCACACAGGCCTGATAATGTGTTCGTATAAAACAACGTAGAATAGTTGGTTAGGAGTCGGCAGGTCAGTGCAATTGTATTTACTCCTATATATGATTTAACATAAGAGTGGAAAATAGTGTAAATAAACCACAAAAGACACCTAGGTTTGAGAATTCTTAACTTGTTCTGACTAGGGTATTTTTAAAATTGTTTTCCCATGTATGAGTATGAGATTTACTGCTTCAGCATGCACCTGGACCATCGTCCTCCTTGTGGCTAGGTCACATTCCCAACCAACCGACCATATCCACTCATAGTGGACCTAAGTGTGTTTTTCTTAATTTTGTAGATTACAAATTATACTTATGACCAATAGAACTTGGAAATTTTTAAGATGGAAAACAACCTGGTTCTTAAATGACTCCGATCATTCCATTGCTCCTAAGAAACCTTTTGGATTCTAAGACTCAACTTTCAGAATTTCTTTTACTTTTTGACAATTCCTGGTCAGTGGGTAATGGGGGTCGTTACATGGTCATGTATTTAACTGAGTTCGTTAGTAGATACAACTCCTGAATGGGACATATTGATATTTTTTTAAGTAACGTTCCGTTTCGATACATATTCGTTCCCACGCTGACTTGTCAGTCGCATACCATGGACTAGTGGTTCTACTTTGTACTCCTTTAATCCGTTCTTAAAAATATATTACTTGGCAATAAGATCATGTATTCTAATCAGTAGAAAAAGTCAATTGACCTGGTTGTCATAATGCGATAGACCAGGCTATGTGCCAACCACCTGGCGTAACTTGAAGTTAAGCTAAGAGAACAAACGATTCTAGTTCAACCCGAGTTGACCGACTTCCATTTAGGTCACCTACACTAGTGATCTACAGCTTGGAAACAACACTTAAACAGTAACTGTGTCGGATCGGTTAATGCTAACACATTTGAACCTTGCATACGTAATTCTCTAAACTTGATGGATTGCCTCCCAAATTCGACAACGTAAAGCACATCATAATCCTAACCAACTGCAATATTAAATGTGTGACAATGAGGCTCGTGGTAGATAGCGATTCAGCGGTATCCTAGCGTGGTCTACTAGTAATAGCAGCGCCGCAGCAAACGCTTTTTCAAGCAGACCCTGTGCTAAACTTGCGTTGATTATGGCCCACAGGCTATATTCGTAAGAAAAGACGTGTGGTGTAAGTGAATTGGAGTATATGTGAGCGGTTAAAATGCATATTTTTCATGAAGAAAAACACCAAGACTATATGGAGTTTTTTAAAGCTTCATCTAAATTCGATGGCTGATTACATTGATCGATAAGGTATAATTTCATTAGAGTTATCAACTAAAACACGTCAAGCGTAAGTAAGTGTCCATTTATGTAAAGTTTCTGAAACTTTAATAGGCTACTCATACAGTTGTTAGAATTATGTAGAGAAACCGTGAAAGTATAATCTGATCTATTTGAAGTTATTGCAGAATTCTGTATAGGACGGAGCTTTCTTGAGTTATAGTTAGAATAAAATTTAAATTAACTGACAGCTTTTAAGATATACGACAAAGTCCCAGAGGGAAAATCAACTCTGGGATGTAGATAAATCCAGCTGACGAGTGTGAAATAGGACGAAACACGCGTCCTGGATTCCACTGCTAGCAGCCACCCATTATTGCTTAAAAAGCTTGTGATTTAAAGCAATATCGAGGCAATCCGTACAGGATGCACATCTGCCGACAAGAGACTGATCAATTTCAGTCCTAAACAACAATGGGAAGATACAAGCAAACAATACAAATTGAATTTTTACGAGAGTAGCTTTAAACTCTGCATATATAAGTAAGTAAATACCTACTTAGGTGGAATTCGTTTTCGTATATTTCTGTATATGGGATCGGACAAGAACCGGTGTCTTCAATGTGTACGGAGCTGAAACCTAGAGAACTACAATCATTATCAAGAAGGTACGGGTATTTATCAACAACTGTTTATGCAATATTCTCAATATCCGTTGGCTAGGTATTATCAGTAACAACCTACTGTGGGAGAAAGAAAACGAGCTTCTAGCTGAGGAAGAGATTAAAAAAGACGTTGGAAGTGGATAGAACACATATTGAGGAAGTCATCAAAATGCATAACAAAGCAATCGCTAACTTAGAACCGTGATGGGAAATGGAAAATAGGAAGACCGTAGAGCACCGTGTATCGAGAATCGAAAACAGTCATAAAAGGGATAAAAAGCAACTGGAAAGGATTGCCCAGGACAGAGTTGGATGGAGAATACTGGTGGGCGGCCTATGTTCCTCCACGAGGGGTAACAGGAGTAAGTAAGTATATGTGAGTCAGAATTTATATCCATCTTGTGGGTACCATAAATCATTATTCGGGAGTGCAATAAGTGGGACGTCCGGAGTTGGAAAGCTGACTGAAATCGCAAGTATCTCCATTCTGAACCGTATGCCTATCGATATACATTCAGTCCGCGCTAGAGACAGGGAAGCAGTAACTGTTGCTATCCCAGAAACAAAACCTTTAAGCTTATGTATGGAGCTTGTAAATAATATGACAAAGCGATTAAACACATTAAAACATGATAACGTACATAAAAACACTCCATTTTTGATTACAAAGTGATAAACTGTACAAATTTAGATTTGAAAGCGTTTGGGTAATAATGATGAGTTGCTACTGCAATATATTACAAATAAATTAGTTCAGTGACGGACTTCTGTTTACGTTCCATTTGATTCTTATTGTAGGCCACTTTGTTGCCAAGCACTGCTGTATAGGACTTTGATCAATAGGCTGGGTCTCGATAAGCTCTTCTGTAGGATCTATTAAGCGGGCTTCACCAATACTGTATCGAACCTGTTTACACAAAAAGCGTAGTAAGCACTTTAGCGATAGTTGCTTCCAGCTATGAATTATACGATAGTTGCAACTAAGTGTTGTGTAGTAACGTTTTTTTACCATTAGCGATGGGTTCATAATAATTTGAACAGCTAATGTTTCGCCTACGAAGCAGGAATGTAAGGAATCGACTTAAGCATTTCACGCCATAGAAACTTATGGGACTTATTTTTCAACTGAACACAATCAGAAATCATACTTTTTACTGAGTTCAAAACAGTCGAATGGGACATATTAAGTTCTAGGTCCAAACCAGCTTCATCGTTTAGGACCTGGATATGCGAGTGAAATCAACAGTGCTTGTATAAAAAGTGTAACAGATAACTGTACTTGGTTATTGAGTTACATTGCGTATTTTATTTTTCAAATGTTTTTAAGCCCTATATCGATTACTCAAAAGATTTCATAAGTAAGGAATAATTGAAATAACTCACCCGACCATCAGTATTAGAGTGTTCCAAACCATTATAATGGATTAACTGAAAGCTAATAACTTCAGTGGTGTGCTTTGCCATTTCTTCGGGATAAAAGAACTGTAGGAAGTCTTTCTTCAAAATTATTCCTAAACCTTCAGGATCTAGTTTTGTAACTAAATCATTTACTCTGCAAGAGAAAATAATGACGCATCGTTGAATGTAATACGAATAATAATCCTGCCATGAAGTTTGAGTGAAAATACAGTAATTCTGACTGACACTTATTTCTACCATGTCTTACCTTCGTGTGATTGGAAACCGCCAGGAAAAATGCTGAAAGTCAATCATGGTGACACAGGTGTTCACTTTTAGCATGTGAAGACCTTCTACTAAACATTTCCATGCTCCACAAAATTAGTTATTTACTGATATGTTATAAAGCGCGGTAGTAGCTCGAAATGATATCCGGTATCAGGCTATTTATTCATTCTAGATTCTAGAGAAGTGAATTTGTTACCGTAATCTATGGATCTTATCAAGGTTATTACGAACTCTTAATACAAGTTAGTACATTCATTAGGATTACGACTACCATAATTCCCATGAAGTTGAATATTTGTGTAGTTTTCAGTGTTATCTGATGATATAGACATTAGCTTTTGTATGGGAAGTTTGAATATAATACACCACAATATATTGCCGAATGACTACGCGGTCATCAAAGGTAATCTGGAGCTTTGTCATTTATGCTACCCATACTAAGTAGATCTCGTGGTTATGATTTGAGAATATGGTGTGTTGGTGTGCTAAGCTGCTACTTCGCAACTTTGACTTCAATACGGAGAGTGAGATTACTGCTATCCTCTTCTTTCTTAGTTCACTAACTAATAATAAGAAGTCCAACTTCGTGAGGAAAGCTACTTGAATAGTGACCTTAGTACAATATAAAAATTCATCTCAGTCAACTATCTGTCGATCACAATGAATATAATTTATGAACTAAGGTAATTGTCAACCAAACCAAAATTATAGTAAAAATACATTGAAAGCCCACAAAGTAATGTATTAAAATTGTGTTGAACGATGACCTTACATTCATCTTAAGTCGATATTGGTTTCCTTCCTCAAGTAGTACCTGAGAACTTCTACATATACAGATAATGAAGGTTCTCTTAATCCCTTATGTTTGTGTTTATGTATTTTTGATTACTTTTCTGTTATTCTCATTTTGCATACAGATGTCTGTGGTTCGTCTATAGCTATCTGAGTTGTATTTACATTTATAAGTGATATAATTATGCATCGTGTCAGCGATATTCATTACTATCAAAAATTTGTGCTTTCTAATCAGTGAAAAAATTATCGTTACTGACGTTACGTTATTCAGTTACAATAGCGAAAAATCAGTAAAAACAAATTGACAATGATTTTAGAAAATTTACTTACTGTTGGGATCCTGTAGATAGACGTAATTTGGTCAGTAATTTTTCAAAATCTGACGAACTGATAAAACCTCCAGTATCTTGATCTGGGCTTAGATAATTAAACTCAGCTTCAGCTTGACGTAAACCTGATATGGAGTTAATTTCTGACTTGACATTTTTTGACACCAACGACATGTCTGGCGACGCCAAAACGGTTAAGTGTGTCTCAGATCCCAAAATCCAAACTGGGTAGTATGGATTTTTCAAGAACCATCCCACTTCACAATATCTCATTGCTTCAACAAAAGTCAAGAAACCGGTTTTCGGTTGCCTGGATATACCTTTCAATGCTTTACAGAGAAGCAAACAAAACAAACAGTGAAATATTTCATGAAGATGCTTTAGAGACCATGTTGTATTTACACAAATTTGATGACTGAAAGTTACTGACTTTGATCATTTAAAAGTATAACTGATGTCCGTTGATCAAGAAATCCAGGAAATGGGAAGTGCGTGTAAATATTTTACACGCGACATAACATTCCTACATTAAACTGATAATTGACACATTTGGTGAGTTCTGTAACGTCAGCAAATTAGTGAAGTAGTGTTACTTTTAGAAGTAAATTCACAAAGGTAATAGCAGTGCATGGTATCTTCAATGACCATCAAATCGATATTAAAATTATCAAAACAATACAAAAAGGTTTTTCCAACGATAAAGAAAGCTAAATAACTGAAATTTCTCATATACTACTAAATCCTGCTGCTCTTAGTACACAAGAAAGCCTTACCATCTATTTAATTTAGACCATTCATCCAACCCAACACATCTGAATCTACTCACAACGCACACTTTCTTCACACAAATTCACATTGAATTTCTGACATTGCGAATATCACTTTGTTCACACCCATTAGCATACAAAGATACGAGCATGTCTTACAAAAATCACCTCGAACAGAATGATAAAACATTGACTTAATCAAATCTGTTTTTTGATTGATTAGTAAGTTGAAGCAACTAGTCGCTTTGATAAATTTTGAGTGTAATAAGACGACAAAAATTATCAAAACTAAATAATATACTAGCACAATACATTTCGAACAATCTGATCATACATATACTTGTTAAGAACATTTATATATAAAAATAAAAGTCCAACTAGATTAGAAATGGAGGGTGAGGATAATAAAGGATAATAAAGAAAATAATATGAAAAAAATTGAAACGTCATCACTCTGGATAATAAGCCAACATTACGAGGGTAGGTTTAAGGTGAGAATAAACTGTTTTTTTTTGGTATTTTCGCCCTATCCTTTTGTACTGTTTAAATTTAGGCCAGTTTAATTTGTATAGTTATCCTCTGAAGAGGCGAACTACATTGAGTTACGAAATATTGGGAAATTTAATTCTCTACTCTTTGAGATATTAGGAATATATGTCACTACTTTTATTATTATCAATCTATCCAATGCTCAATTTATTTAAAATTATTAGATTAAACTAGTAATGATACCTATATACTCACATCGAGTACATACATTTTAGAGATAAGCCACTAAGTATGTGAGACAATCAAATAGCTGATTATATGAACCTTTGATGAATTAGTAAAACAGAATCATACTAGCAAGTCTTAATATTATCAAGAAGAATTGAATATTTTGTAAGAAAATCTGGCTAAATCCGATGTGCTTCACTTCCTGATTGTGCGCTTTCATAAAGCCTCTGAACCAATCATGCACTTTGAATAAGGTAAATTGATGTAAATTCGCATTACACATCGTATCAACCAGACCTATTCACTCACATTGTACGACTATAAAAATATAGCGGGTAATTTGTAGACTTTTAGTCCAGTAGCCACGTATAAATCTGCGTAATAAGTTTCTAAATCCAAGTAACTAGGATATGTTCGAAAACCAGCTCAATTAAGTGGTAGATTTGAATTATTCTTCGCAAATTCTCATCTAAGTAAATGCCAATTGTATCGCTTAATTAAAGGGGAATATACACTCAATGATATTATTAATTTAGGCGAAAATCTATGGTGCATACAATTGAGTTGGTCAAGATGCTCTTAGCTGTCATGAGTAAGACAAGACTCGTTTGCATCAAGTATTCAGTAACGTTATAGAAAATACAGGTGGCGTATAAAGCTTGAATATATACTGGTAAATATTAAAAACGATTAAAATTAGTGACAGACCTCTCTGAAGTTGTTTCGAATGTGTTCAAACAGAGGTTTCCTTGATATACTATAGTATATTAAGGTATGAAAATATACGTCTCATATGAATGAATAGCCCTGGTTTATCTATGAATCACGTAGTTTTTATATCAAGTACATTGGGTTTCATTAGGACTCTTTTGTGATACTTCTTAACACTTGATGTTAAACTCAAGAGATTAGCAGACTTAAATGGATAGAAATTTTAATAACATAGCACTTAAGCACATTTAGCAAAATGTCTCAGCTACTATGTAGTTTTACACCACAGTAGAAACTACTTTATTTCCTCTCCATATCTGACTAATCGATTGCAGTAGAAATTTTAAAAGAGGTTTTAAACAGGTTAATTAAACGAACAACCTATACTAGCAGGAGTCTATTGAAAAGTGTAGATTAACAATGGCAAGGAAGTTGACTGCCGTCCCGCCAAACGCGCTTTTAAACATTAGACCTCTTCAACTCCCTCTAAAATGTGTCGAGACACGCTGGTTTACTCTCGCTAATCGCAAGTGTGATATTATACGCAAATTTTCAACTCGGGTTATCACAAAGTTTACGGCGTGAGGAAAAAGAAACCTAATGATCAAAGCTTGTTAACGAGTTTGTAGCAGCAGCTATATGTGTTCCCTACTGAGATTTGCTACAAATCATGGTACCAAGAATTACTACATTAATAAAATGACTTACGAAGGTGATTCCATACTAATCAGCAATCCTTAAAGGCATGTTAAACCTTGGGCAGGGTACTTTAAGGGATAGTCCAATTAGTGACCTACACCCCGCTCGCTTCAAGGGAACTGATTAGATCGTTTCATTTTATTGAAGGTGGTTGGTTTACAACACATTCCTATGGTATGAAAGATAACTATGTATGAACAGGGTTTGTTAGTTCATTTTAATTCTTCAACTTGGATCCAAGAGACTGTGAGATTTAGTGGCTTCAGAATAGAAGCCAATGGCGACTATACTATCGTTTGCCATTATTCTTAATAAAAATGAGATAAACTCTTTGTACTGAGAGTATTTTTTGATTGTATTTCCAAATGAGCTGTGTCCTTATTAAACAATATTATTGCTCATTTATTTATTTATTGTACTACCGTTATCTTCTTTGTGTCTTCACAATTTTAGTACTACGTTTAAGTAGTGCATTTTTGATGCCATATATCAGAATTCGTACCTCATAAATTAAATAAAATGCTTAAAAAATCGAGATGCTGCCTATTATTTAGAGTGAGCAATGAACAAACTGAATAAACGGTTAGTATATTCCATTTAATATATATCCTGAGTAAATCAGGGCACAGAATTAGGCTCCGTTCTACTTTATGACCGTAAGACATGGTATATGAAAGTAGGAGACATATGTAGACTAAAGATTAATGATCATAAGTGTCTTTGAAGCATTCCTCGCGTTTCGAGGAACGATCAAATGAGCAAGCATAGGTGCCAAATCGGTTGATGAGTTTGTAAATCTCCATCGACTGATATGATTAGGGTATATGCTATGTATCTCTGACTACCCACTTATCTCGACAAGTGATGCTCGTTAGTGCAACAGCAGTTTGGAAAAAAGCTAAGGGAGCTCATGTTGGTAGATGCAAACGATTTGGTTGGGGTGTGTGATAATTGTGATCAGCGGTTGGAGACTTCGGGTGACATACCTCAGAATCAATTCACAATGGTTTACATGCATTCAATATTCATCTTCCTCTTGATCTTGAATTTCACTGTCCCTTCATACATAACTTTTAACTTAATCTTTCTCAATCATATTGCCCCGGTTTAGTCTTTCTTTTTATCACTGCTACTACATTATTTTGATCTTTCTGATGTATATATTTCGTCTCTCTAATGTGGTATGTGAAATTGCGCCAACGTATATTTGTGTCCAGTTGATGATATCTGTCTTCCTGAATATGCTCCAATTAATAATTGCACTTAATTAGATAAAATATTAATTGATGTCTTTTAATCCCAGTTTAACAATTAAACGTAAATACACTTACTAAATCCTCCGAGATCTCTTTCACCATCGAATAAATATGGCGTGCTTTCTCCAGTAATTAATAAATTAATCAGACACTGACTAGCATGTCCATGAATTGGATCAATCAAAGCATCCATTTCACCATTCATTTCGTTTATAAGTGACTGAAGTCCATGTGTGAACAAAACAGAATAAAGGAAGCACAATACTCCATATTTTGATTTTATTTGAGGAAGTAACGAGAAAGCAACCGCACGGAGTTCCTCGACAGTTTCCGCTTCGAAGCATCTAAATGAAAAAAATATTTTACTTGTAATTACAAGCATAGATTAAAGTAGACCAACCAAAAAACGTTGCTTAATAAGATATACCTGAACTTGAGATTATAGGAATACAGCAACTCGCTTATGGTGGAAATACGGCTCTACCAAACGTTCTCGAGTCACTGCCTGATTGAAAATTGTATGCTACCACCAAATACGAATACTGAAGCAGTTTTTTTGAAACCACGTGCACCATTCACGCTGGCTGCCTTCAAAGTTCGCACACTTATGCAGGTCAGACAACAGATAGGACTGACTATGCCTTTGGAAAGTCTTAATATCGACGTCTGTTGTCTATCTGAGACCCGTATTCAAGACTCTGGTGAAGTACTACAAATTCGCTCTCCATCTGTAGCCTCAAAAAGCTTGTTTTACGTGCGCTTATCCGGGGACTCTGTGGCATCTTCGTCTGGTCTTGCTGGAGTTGGTGCCGCACTAAGCGCTAGAGCTGAGGCAGCACTAGAACGTTCCATCAAAGTGAGGAGAAATCGGCGTGAGAAACGATGTCTTTTCATCATCACCGCCTATGCTCAGACAGATTGCAGCCCGGATGCAATCGAGGATGAGCTTTACCATCAGTTATCTGTTCTCCAAAAAGTGCGTTCGACAGATATTATATTACTAGCCGGAGACTTGAATGCTCAGGTCAGGCGTCAAGGCACAGAAGAGAGTCGTTTAGGTGGCCGATGGGGACTTGTTGGTCGCAAGAAAGATAACGTGGACCGTCGACTACAACTGTGCACAGACCACAACCTGTTTTTGGCTAGTACTAACTTTCGGCACAGTCATCGCCGATGTGCCATCTGGCGTCCTTCCTCTGCATCCCAAGCCTGGACTCAGATTGATCACATAGCGATCAGCTACCGCTGGCGTGGTTGTGTACAAGACTACCACTCCTTTTGGAGTACCTATCTGGACTCTGACCATGCCTTGGTCTGCGCCAATCTTACCTTACTTTTCAGTGGCCAACGAAGTGACCGTCACCAACGGATTGATGTTAGCAAGCTGGTTGCAACTTCTGTTGCAAGTAAGTATCGAACTGAGCTAGCTTCTAAGCTAGCTACCATTCCACCGAAAAGTATAGGTAAGTATTCGTCGCAACTGCATGACGCCATGAAGACGGTAAGTAAAGCCGCTTGCAGCTTCGCGAAACGTCCCGCTTATAAGCACTGGGCTTCTTCAGGCTCCCTACAACTTATCGAAGCTCGTCGGTCTACTCCAGGTGACCGTGAGTTTAACCACAAACGGAGGATGTTACGCAATGAAATCGGTCAAAGCTTGCGTAAGGACCGAGAAGCCTGGTGGTCGGAGCGTGCTAATGAGCTGGAAGCAGCAGCTGCATCTGGTAACTACCGGGAGCTTTTCCAACTCATCCGAGCCACTGGCAGCAAGAAGTTTGGTGTGAGCGAAACAATCTACGAGGATGAGGGAATGCCAATCACTAACATCCATAGACGTCTTAGACGATGCGCAGAATTTTCGGAAGGGGAGTTCAACTGGCCTGCTGTTCCGACAACATCGGTCAGACTGTCCTGCCCTCCATGGCCGGTGACGGCTGATCCACCAAATGAGGCGGAAGTCTGCAAGGAACTCCAACTCTTGAAGCGCTACAAATCACCTGGCCCAGATGACTTACCTCAGGCTCCTTTTAAAGATGGTGGTGACTTTCTGAATAAGGAACTGACAACGTTGTTTACAAAGGTCTGGAAGCTAGAGTGTACCAACGTCATGGAATGAGACGATAGTTGTCCCTATCTTTAAAAAGGGTTCACGTCGTTCCTGTAACAACTATCGGGGGATAAGTCTACTTCCGATTGCTTCCAAGCTATTGGCTTCCGTCATACTTCGTAGGTTGTTCAAAACCCGAGAAAGATTGACTCGCGAGGAGCAGGCTGGTTTTCGTTCCGGTCGAGGATGTATTGATCATATCTTCACCCTCCGCCAAATGTTAGAACGCCATCATACTTATCAAAGGCCAACAATCGTAGTATTTCTTCACATCAGGGCCGTCTTCGATTCGTTGGACAGGACTGCTCTCTGATGTTGTCTATTGAAGAAGAGTGTGCCAGTGAAGTTTATTAACATCCTAAAAGCCCTATATACAAACACCTCAGGCAGAGTTAGGGCATACAACCACCTCTCTCCATTGTTCCATTCGAGCAGTGGGGTTAGACAGGGTTGCTCAATCTCACTATTCCTCTTCAACCTTGCCATCTACGACATTCTGGAAACAGCTCTGATAGATGTAAGTAATGGCGGTGTGGATCTGTTGCCTGGAGAAAGACTTCTCGACCTTGAGTATGCGGATGATATTGCCTTACTGTGCGATAATGCACAAGCCATGCAATCCGCACTTAATCCGTTGGCAATCAGTGTCCGTTGGTATTGTATGGTGCAAAGTACTTCTATAAGACTGACAGGATTCTAATCCTGTACTCACTCTGGATGGTGAACAGATAGAAGTAGTCGGGAAGTTCGTGTATCTGGGTAGCTGCATAAGTACTGACGGGGGTGTGAGTGGTGAGATCAATGCACGTATATTGGAAGTCAGAGCGGCTTATGCCAATCTGGGCCGTCTTTGTGTTATGTTTCGTTATTGCTTGAATGCTATTACTGATGCGTCTTCGTGATGTCAGTCTGGTTGTAAAAGGTCGGATCTACAACGCGTCGGTGGGAGCAGTTTTGTTCTATGCTTGTGAAACCTGGCCTCTCCGAGTTGAGGATGTTAGACGACTCTCTGTGCTCGATCATCGTTGTCTCCGGAGGATCGCTGACATCCAGTGGTAACACCATGTTAGTAATGCAGAGGTTTAGCATCGTGTGTTCGGGAACAGAGACGATAATGCAATTGGTGTCACCATCTTGAAACACCGACTTCGGTGGATTGGACATGCTCTACGAATGTCGTCCCAGAGAATTCCACGTCGTGCATTGTTTGCCGACGCTGGGACTGGTTAGAAAAAGTGGAGAGGTGGTCGTTGTATGATATGGTGTCGTAGTATGAAAGAAAGCTGCAAAGGACTGGCTTGTGTTGGTCCTTCACGAATCCCTGGCTGGGATCCGAGAGATGGTGCAACACAGTTGCTAGAGACGTTATCAGATATGGCTCAGAATAGAAGCCAGTGGCGATCCTACTGTAAACTTTTTTTACTTTCTTCATAAAAAAACATGGTTGTATCTTCCTTAACTGAAAGATTTCTCCTGATTGTACCTTTCCGTTACCCCATTATTACTATTATTATTACACTACCTTACACTAATTTGTTCATTATTTTTTTTATCTTCGAATTCTCATTATCTTGTGTGGCGCACATATATTTGGTGCCCTCTTGTACCAATATTTATGTGTTCAAATAAATAAATAAATAATAACGACAGCTTAGTGAAAAGAATATTATTTCATATCCTATTTTCTTCTGTTTACAATAAATCCTAAAATATCAAACTGATGGTTCACCAAAAGCATAAAAAACATCTAAATCTGAGTTTACAACCATCAATTGAGGAAGACAGGGGTACGATATGATAGTACCATCTTGTATCACAAACTGTTGAAAAAGAACATAACAATCCAGGAAGACATGAGTTTAGATAAAATTTACGATCGCACCAATAAAATTAAATAGTGAAATCCACCGAAGACTACCGAAATATGCCGACACAAACTATCTGATGACCACATCAATGTTTAAGTGAAGATTAATAACACTATGATAAGACTGACTACTGCATAAGAGAAAATGTCGAATTCAAAGGGTCCGAAAAACAGTTAGCAATCGCTTTGAAGGAATGGCTATATGCAGACGCACAAAATGTATTAACACTTTTTCATAGAAGCATGCCCAAAAATCATACTAACCTATAAGTTTGCATTTACAAATGCTTCTTACTACAAGTCGAGTATAAAAAAGAGGATAATAGTCAGTAGTTCGACAAATAGGAAATCACTTTCAGACCCTTTAACATACACAAGACTTTAAAATGCAACAAAAACTGCAATGAGGACAAAGTTCATTGAACAGTGCTATGAGGGTTATTGACTATTCGTGATCAATACGCACATTTCGAACTACTTTACCTATTACCTTACCATTACTTCGTACTTTTTTTGTTACGACTAGCTATGTAATCCGTTTTTATTGTTGTGATTGGTCCATAACTTGGGTTGAATAGTTTGATAATTTCTATAAATCCTTATATTACTGTGCATAAGAGTTAAACCTGATGATCTGTTTAAAAACTATATTGATCTCTTAAATGTGCTGTCCTAATAAGGTTTTTCACCATCTTCGCTTCCTAGAACCGTCTTTTTACCCCGATTCGATAACATTAACTTTGAGTAAAAGGTAAAATGAAGAAATCCACATTTTAGAAAACACGTGCAGCTTACCTTAAACCATTAATAAATTTCTGGAAACCGCATTCTCCAAGCTGGTTCATATTAGAATCCGATGACCTATTGGCAGCACTGAAATCACTGGTGGCACATTTTTCATCTAAAATAAAATTCCTGAAATCACTCTTATTACAAACTTTGAATGGAGGACTCAGAACTCGCTGGTTCTTCATCTTCACACCAGTAAACCCAGCAAAAATGGCTTTGGCGATCACTCGAAACCAATAGAATTATTCTTAACAGCGCGCTCAGTAGAATTTCCATATTGTCGACATCTAATTTTTAGTGCCCATTTCATGACAAAAATGTACCTGTAATATCAGCTAGGTTCTGCTTGCGAATGAACAAAACCTCGTACATAATTGTGGCTTGAGTAGTAGCTATAATAGCACATGGACCACCTGTTGATTGTACCAAAGCACTGAACTCAACAGGGCTAAATGAAAATCCTAAGCAAAGTTACAGTAACGAAAACTATTCACCTTGACACCAACGTTTGAACAAATCTGTCTTCACATTGGATCCACCCCATATCACACGATTGAATTCACGTATCCGGGCTATACAGCTCTCAGTCATCAATAGATCGTTAATTTGTACTGTAAAACAACCGTTTGCATATCCCACAAACTACTGGAAGCTGAATGAAAAAAATGACGGATTTGTGGAAACTGTTCAATTTAAAAGCTAACTTAAAATAAAATGGAGGATATTTTTGAGGAAAGATGTTGTTGTCACAAACTTGGAATATCGAGTAAAAAAATTTTATTACCATGTACAATCGAGACAAGTAAATATTTAGTAGTCGAACTGCTGGGAGTATCTCACAGTCAGTAGGATTACGTAACAGATAATCTTTCTCAAACAAAGCCAGAAATTCAAACTCATTAATAAAACACCTAAAAACGTTAAGATATAAGGTGCCTAACCGATTACCACGCACATGATATTTATCTTTAATCATGTTTTAGGAGGTAAAAGCCAATAATTGAGGAATGAACTAAGCCTATCAGTCAGGTCTTAATTTCCTGGAGGGGGAGAGAATTATAAAACTGATATCGATCAATGGTTTACAACACAATCATGTTTACTCTTATGTTAATAATTTATATATAAGTACTTCGATTGACTGAACAAAAAAGCCTATTCTACTGGGCAGCTATTTTGTTTTTTAATACCAATTTATCAGAAGCTTAAGTTAAGAATAAGGTATCGAGAGCAGTCACTATTTGGCTATATGGTATGAATGGAGTTGAACTTCTGCCGGGAGATTCACTTGTTGACTTAAAATATGCCGTTAACACAGTTCTATTTGGTGAAGACGCTGACAACATGCAGTCTTCTAACCACCGTAAGCAACAATGCAAACATGTTCGGGATATGGTTCTCCCCTTCAAAATGCAAAATGTTGCTTCAGAATTGATAGAGAGTGAAGTAGTTGACCGTGTCGACCACTTCACTTGTCTTGGGAGTCACATCAGCCTTTGTAGTTTGTGTGTGACGAAATCTCAGCACAGATACAGAGGACTCGACTGGCTTTTGCCGACTTGCGCCATTTATGGCGTAGGCGGTATATCCGTCTACCAATCAAAGGACGGGTTCACTGCGCAGCAGTGTGTTCCGTCCTACTTTATAGCTGTGAAACGTGGCCTGTAAGAGTCAGAGATATTCGTAGGTTACTAGTGTTCGATCATAGGTGTCTTCGAAGCACTGCCCGTATATCCTAGGACCACCGCGTAAGTAATGCGGTTGTTAGGAAACGGGTACTAGGTAAGGATGGCATATCAATTGATGAAGTAGTGAAACTTCATCAGTTGAGATGGCTGAGACATGTGTTACGTATGCCCAACCACCGACTGCCCCGATGTGCGATGTTTTATGGTGTAGAAGTGGGTTGGAAAAAGGCTAGAGGCGGCCAGACCAAAACATGGCACAAATCCATGAAGTCACTGACAAGTGGGCTGATCCACGTTGGTAGGTGTAGACTACCTGGTTGGGATCCGCGAGATGATAGCAACCGATGGTTAGAGACCCTGAATGACATGGCTCAAAATCGTTTGCAATGGCGCAGGTGCATACACTCTTTGTGTTTTCCCAAATTCTAATTTTCTGGATTATTCACGTCCCTTATTTTCTTCCCAAATTTATTTCACTGTATTACACTCCTTGAATAATATCTTCAAACCCTAATCTTTCCGATTACTGCTTATACTCTTACCACCTCTACCACTATGGAATTTGAATCGACAATTGTATCTCTATGCTAATGTTATGTGGCAACTCGAACTGATGTACGTACGTACGAAGTTCTACGTTGTTACTGACTGACCATCAAGTGTGATTGGGTTGGTGTTCTCTGTGTTATATTTCAGGATCTTGCGTTTTCTCTTGTATATGTTGAGGCTTACTGATGCAGAGGCTGCAGAGGCACTGTTTGTATTGACCTACATTTGTTGGTGTGTATGGGATAGAAGAGCTAAGTGATCTACGAAATCCAAATAGTATAATTGCTTTAAATAGAGCAAGAACAAAGATTGGTGCAGAATAATATGAATTCATTTTATTTCGTTAGGTTCTCATCAGCTGCTTACAACCTAAATTATTTGAAAATTCAAATTATTACAGATATTGACATATTTATATATAAGTGTGATTAAGGATCAATACATGTGTATGATGATGTAGCGAAGATTCAGATAGAGTTAATGAGCTCATAAAATGTTTGATTCGAATAAATAAATAAAGTTAGAGAGGGAAAGTTCTGGAACATTGAAAGTGATTAGAACTCATGAAAATAGATTAATGGTAATAAAGAAAATATGAATTGAAATCAATCAGTTATGTATGATGTAATTTATATTTCAGAAAGAGTTGCAATAATGACGTAATAAATAAATAAATAGGAGCAAATTAATTGCATCCACCCTGTTCATTGTATTCCGTGCTTCTCGTCAGATGTGGAGGTCTTCATAATCCAGTCAACCACCAAAAGAAAGTGGCAGGGAGAGATTAGACAGTGTCGAAGAAGGTTCTGTGAGGTTCTTTATCCACGCTGTCAAATACATTCGGTCTGTGCACAACCGATCCTTACGGAATCCGACCTATTGATCTGGAAGCTAGTTGTCTACTGAATCTTTCATCCAGTTCAGCAACATTCTGTCGAAGACCTTTCCTGGTACTGACAGCAATGCGATTCCTCTGTAGTTCTTACATTTACTCAGATCTTTATGTGGTATCGTGATGAGGTGTCCTTCTATCCCGTCTGTTGGCACTTGTTCTTTGCCCTAAATCTTCCTGAATAGAATGTAAAACATGTTTACAGCTACTTCTATGTCTGACTTTATTGCTTCAGCTGGTATATTGTCAGATCTTGTTGCTTTCCCACTCTTGATTTTCTAATGGCCATCCCGATTTTTTCGATTGTTGGTGGAGTGACATCTATAGAATGGTGTGTGTGTTGCTTCGATATTCGGTGGATTCAATGGAGATGGTCCATTCAAAAATTCCTCGAAGTATTCTACCTATCTGTTCTTGGAACTCGGTGATTACCTTATTTGTTCTTGACCAGACTCTGGTTTACTATATTTTCCTGTCAGTTTCTTAGTCGTATCATATAGTTGTTTCATATTTCCTTCTCTTGCAACTTTGTGTATACGTTTGTGTGGAAATATTGTGCCGCTTATAACCGATTTGTTGAATTCACATAAATTTTTAAATCTTTTCCCATTTTCGTTCCTCTCTCCCAGTTCATGTCGTCCCATGATATCTTCATACCCGGTGTTGTCCATTCCGCCTTTGCCGTTCAGATCTCCTACCAGGATTGTTAGGTCCTTTCCTGAGCACTTTGCTATGAGCGATTGTAGCCTCTCGTAAAACTGATCTTTATCGTTGTCATTGCTATCATTGGTGGGTGCACAACAGTAGATAACATTTATTGCAATTCACTCCTTCGTTTTGAAGGATGCTTTGATGATTCTGGATCCATCAGATTCCCACCCTATAAGTGCTTTTCAAGCTTCTCTGGACAACATCACAGTGTAAGGAGCATTTTCCTCTTCGCGACCGGAGTACGCCAACGTCTCTTCAGAATCTCAGTGGTCTTGAGTGCTGCTAGTGGTATGAGGCAGTTGTCACTTCCTGGTTCCCCACATCGTGGAAGGGTTCTTCTAGAGGTACCTGAAAAGGAAATCGGGTTAGAGGAGGTCTTAGCGACCTGAATGGCATGGTAGGATCTTGAGAAATGATTGTTCCAGCCAGTATAGCTCGACTAGTTCATTACGATAGGCAAGCCCGACCACCACGTCAAGGTAGTAGCAAGATTAGATTCTCTCGAATCGAATATTTTCTGTCCAGCTTGGGTCCAACGGGTTTCGCTGATTCTGAGGACCGTCAAGTTGAATCTTTTCATTTCCGTCGCTGTTTGACCAGTCCACCCTGTCTCCCACATTGTCCGAGCGTACCTATAAAAGTTGTTGCTTTGGGTGTTAAAAGGGGCATTGACCCCGTGACTTTCGAAGAATCTCGGCTTTCATCACAAGGCGTCATAATTTTTCTTCCGATTCCCGAAGTAGAGTTTAAATGGTCTGTTTGTCTACTCAGAATAGTGTTTTTCAGCAAGGTTGTTTTTTACGGAATGGGGTTGCTGATCCCACACTCAACCCTCCCCCTTTACCCGGGCTTGGGGCCGGCAGTAGTCCTAGAAGGGCTAGCGACGGAGTTTATTTGAGAAACACTCCTATAATTTCTGGTTATTGATGAAGGGAAATACTATTACCATCTATAATGATTCGTTTTGATAAAGCAATACTGTACTTTATTCTCTAAAACAAGTTTTTGACTTTTCTAACACCTTATATGGTTGACCCCATTGATCACGGTAAAAATTAGATGATATAATCATAGTAGCGGATAAGATCAGCATTTAGTGTGGTATCTTCAACAGTGATAGTAAGATTGAAAGAAAGTGATCATTAAGTTTTATAATGTTAGCACTTAATTTTTACGCTTAAATATTTGTGACTTATTAGTTCCGAATTTTACTGACTGTCAAAACTTTTAGAATTAATGACGTTAATACTACTGTATAAATATCTGCTTCATCTGCCTGTATTTCAATCAGTCACAGGACAAATTTATTTTCTAGATTGACCACATTTTGACCGCATTATTAAATTAACGGCAATCATCCTTTTAAACATATACAAAGGATGCAATATATGAGGAAACATACAGACAAAGATCACTAATCACTTGTTTTCTACAAAAGCTTCTAGATAATTGACTAACTTCTTCAAGGTAACATTACTAAATCTTTTTACAAACAAGATACGCCTAAGGACAACACAATTCATTGCCATAAGTAGTCAACAGTCAACATTTTTAAGAGCAGTTTCATTCCTAAACTACAATGAAACATTGATTTGCTTCCTAGAAAAGTTGAGAATCAAACTTGTACTTATTCACCGAAGGTATATGACATTGAAAAAAGTTAAGATAGACACTGATATTTGTTAGTTGGCACAAACCCAGAATGATTTTAATAGGATTTAAGGTCACTTGGAAATATGGGGGAAAATTTTAAAATCTTTAGCTTTCTGTAACTAATTCCATGCGGAACTCGCTTCACATGCCTGTAGTACATCCAAAGCCAAGACTAAATATCATGTTAGAAGTATACCCTAATCCTAAAACACATCTGTAATCAATTACACAGCCTACTTTAGTTTTGGAGCCCGGGTAGTATTAAAACCCTCACAAGTCGAACGGTGAAGTGCGGCGCATATATGTTCGGTGCTTCCTTGTACTAATTTTTATGTTTAAACAAATAAAATGTGTATTGCAGATGAAGTACGACCTTCGATTTTTATAATGAAAACTGTTGATCTACTCTCCTTTTGTATTTAAAACCTTTGAATTAAAACACTTTTATGTGCACAGAGAATGGTGCCTTAGATACACACGTCGAATTTTAGCTACATGAAATAAGAAACGGAAGCCACACAAACCATAATAATCCTTTTTGGTATTTAACATAGCATTTGAGGAACCAGCTAACGCTGACGTTGTGTACTGGATAAGTTTCATCAGTTTATGAAATTTCTAAAACAAACCTCCAGAAATAAGTGCATCAGTAGTTTTTCCGAACTTCAAAAGGTACCCAATTTTAGATAGGAAGAAAAGACAATACTCGATAATACCGCAGTTACACTGTATACAGAAATAACGAATTGTCTATTAAACGATGGTTACGCAGTAAAGCTAAATAAAAATGAAAACGTAGTATAGCCCGAGTTTTTATACAAAATCCCATAATTCACGCACTGTCTGGCCCCACCAATTCGACTAAATGAAGTTCTTGGTATATTAACATCCAACTCCACTTAAAATACTTGGCCTGATCATAATAGTGAGGCGACCTGCACAGGAGGTACATATTACCAAGACTTTAATGGAATCTCTTAACATGAACGACGAGAAATTTCGAAACGCTTACAAGTGAGCTATGAAGATTATTTGTCAATGTTTTATGGACTACTAAAAATCTACCGTGAGAGATAAGAAGAGACACTTGAACAATGAGGTGGGACAAGAAAGTTCGCGTGCTTTAAAAGGTCAAACCCTAATAAACCTAGATTACGAGAATGAACCTGAGAGAACTTGTGAATGATCCTGGCACATTCAGCCAGTCAGGATGCAACAGATATAAATGAGGGATTCATTATCCCATTATTAGGATTTATGCTTGGTATTTCGGTTTGAGATGTATAGTTAATGATTTAAGATTGGGATTAGGACGCATAGTTTAGGTCTTTAAGGTAAGAGTTAGTTCCTACAGAGTGCCATTTGAGGTTTGGAATTCAAGTGTTTGTATTAGGCTTGTCTAGCTCCACGTCACAAACAATAAGGTTTATAACCTAACCCTGAAGTAGAACAAAACTTGGTACTAATCCTGAGCTTAACAGCCCAATTGTTTTTTAAATGCGTTACGATGTTTTCCGCGTGACATTTTTTTGCAATGTTACCAACAGGAAGTATTTCCTCCGTTATTACACCTACTCCGTCATCGCTACACTACATTTCTATTTGACAGATACGCTATTAATTTGAAGTTTGTGCATTCACCACTGGGCCATCGTAATAGCCTACCTTAGCCTAAGAATGTTCTAAACAAACATGTAACTTGCAGAATATCAGTTTCGCAAGGTTATGTTTTCAATAAGCACGTCCGTGTTTACTAGGTCCTTATATTATTTTTCGCCACCAGCTTCATCAACAAGACACTGTACAGTATACTACGCACAAGGATGTCTGTGAAGCGTGTAACAATTTGTGTCAGAAGCTATTTTGTGTACTAGGGGAATATACAGAGTTGTGTGAGCGAGGAGGGCTGGAAAAGAGGAATGACAAGTCGTCCACCATGAAAGCCCATGTAACACACTTGTATTTAGTATGAAGAAAGACGACAGCTATAATACAAGCCTCAGATTAGATAGCCTTACAATAGAAACTATAAACAGAAAGCTTAACCCACCACACAGACCATACCTTATTTGAAAGTAGCGTCGTACTTGGATATTCCGGCTTTTGAAAAACTTCAATATGCAGTTTAGAAAACTCGAATTGGGTTATTATTCCTGAGAGATGTTTCGATGTTTTCAGCTTTTCGAACTATGGTGAACTTTATTATGTCTCAGGCTTAATTTGTGAATACCTGACTGCTAGTCATAATGTGGCATGTTTGCTAGGAGACGCTTCAGTTTTAAGTTTGGTAGGCCAGTTATCTAATCAGTTTCAGTTTGGGAGGGAAAGGAGGCTTGATGTCCTTTTTAGTCCCGGCAATGATGATCTCTCAGTTGATTCAACTTTCTTTTGAAAAAGTCAACGGATTGAGCCTCAACCACGTGCTATCACCCTTACTTTGTTTCGCTCTCCATATCTTGACGCCTTCAGCATATAGCAACACCGATGATGATATTAGACGAAAAAAAGTTGTTTGCATACAAGAGGAATAACACTGGCCCTTAAACTGTGCCCTGGAGCGCTTCACTAAGCACAGTTTCCAGCTAGACAACTTGGAGTTCACCTGCACTTTTTGTTGGCACCCAACTAGGAAGTCTTTTATCTACACCAATAGATTACCACCAACCCCGACATTTCGCAACTTATATAACAGCCAGTTGTGCGGGACTTTGTCAAAAGCTCTGCTGAAGTCAATATAGGCTACGTATACCGGTACCGTTTGGTACATAAGAGCTCTTCAGGTTTCACGAGCCAATAATAAGTCAATGAGACGGGAATAAATTATTCTAAAACCATCCTGCTTTTCCGAAAGGATCCAGCTTTCATCAAGATACTTAAACGGCTTCCGAATTATCTTTTCTAAAATTTTAACAACCAGATTAGTTAGACTAATGGGTAGGTAATTCTCAGGTTTATGTTTCGCACCTGTTTTGAAGAGAGGACTTTCTATGACGTTCTTTCAGCCTTTTGGCAGACGACCATGGGTTACGGATAGATTAGAGCACATTCCTGAAACATTCACAACGAAGTTAGCTGATTCCTTTGGTGATCTAGGATGCAGCTGACCGGGTCACGTGGATTTGTCTATGCCAAACTTATTTAGCAGACCAAAGAAATCGAGTTCCCTAATGGTCACGCTGTCCAGTGTGTGAGGGGAATATGTGTGGATTACGGGAAGGGTGTTTCTATAGTATGTACATGGAGCAAGTAGTTTGAGAGTGCTCGGGCTTCACCAAAGTCGTCCTCCACTAATGATGAAGCAGTTTTGTCTCCCCCATTGTACTGGGATATTTCCTTATCTCTTTGTCCTTTGGTTTACATACGAATGCAAGCATTCAGGACATTCTATGGATTCCTTGACAATTTTCTCCTTGCACAACCTTTTAAACTTACGAAGGGTCAAGACACAGGTATTCCGAGCTTTTCGATACTGAGATGTTGTCCCATCAGTCCCCAGTAATCTAAATCTATCTCATATTTTCCTACTCTTAAAAAGAAGGATGAGAACATCCCTTCTGAACTATGCTGGGGTGCAGTAACTTTTAAGTATAAATTTCGAAATACATTCCAATCCGTTCCCATTGGGAACTCTGGCTCCATTGTCCAGTCTACTGACGATGCTGAGTGTATAATATCTTGTATATCTACTGTCCAGACGTTAGGTTTGGATTAAGCTGACACGTGCTCGTGTTCGACAATCATATGCAAGTCAAAGGTCAGAACTCCCTGATCATTTTTACCTAGGGGTGGCAAATAGTCCAGATTCGTAACGTCGTCCTCATAGTGGGTCAATATAAGATCTAGTAAGAATGATTCATATTCCGTATCGTACCTAGTCGCTTCTTTCACATGTCGCACTAGGGCACATGTGATAACCGCATCAACTAGTTCCTGCTCGAAAGAATTATCTGACAATTCAGTTCGCATATTTTTACAGTCTACCATGGGTGCATTGGAGTCCCCTAGGACTAGACATCCGCCACTTTGTGAACAAGTATTGAGACTGCTTAGCAAGATCTCATTTACCTCACAGCGTGGACTGCGATAGACCAAACCAATCAGTAGCTCTTGACCCTTGCATTTCAATTGCCAACTAACTAATTCACACGTACCACTCTCATGGGATACACTGTCGATAATGCCAAATGGTATAGCATTTTTGATTAATAGAGCTACTCTCCCTTCCTTACGCTTCTGAATTCTGTCGGCTCTTATTAACCTAAAACCCTGGAAACCATGTTCCATACTATCTATAGGCTGCGTCAGCTAAGTTTCTGTGACTGCGATTATGTCTGGCTTTGTCGAGTCAATCTGTACACCAAGTTCCAATAGCTTATTGAGTAAGCTTCGGGCATCAGTGTAACAGATCCGAAGCCTATTTAAGTGCCTTCGTGCTTCACCCAGAGTGGCTTCGGCATCATTTTCTGTCGAAGCCCTACAACCCGAAAATTTACAATTTTAGGTCCTGTATGCCAGCGCCTAACCTAAGTTGTAATTCTTTTTCAGCTTCCCATCTTTTAACACGGTCTGCCAGCGAGAAGTCCTTACAGACAAAAACGGACATTCACTAAGTTAGATATTACCTTGTTCACTACAGTATAGAAAACCTTGGTGAGAACTAAGCTTGAGAACTGCATTCAGGCTGCAAGCCCCAGTTTAAAAGGTGACTCGGATATCCTGAAAAAAAATACAAAGGGCAGCTTCGCATGCAATTCCAGAACTTCGAGGTTCACCATACAAAGAACGGCTTGAAAAGCTAGACCGCTTTATTCTGTCCTATAGCAGACTAAGAGAATATCCAATTTTGATGTACAGAATACTAGGAAATGATTTTGGACTTAACTTATTCTTTCTTTTTCTTCCCACTAGATCGGGACATCTCAGAGAACATAGCAAGCGAGTAGAAAAGCCAAGAACGAACAAAATATACGTGGCATACAGGTTTTCACACTGAGTCATCAATACTTCGAACTTGTTACCCGAAGCAGTGGTGTCCGAACCTAGAATCGACTCATTCAAGAGGAGACGGAACACTTCTGTCCTTACTACACAAATCTGAATCTGAATCCTAAATCATCTTTAATTTATTATTATTATTATTAATAATGGCGTTATTCAATATTATATTTTGGTACAATATAGAATTCTCAGCACAGGTTATTTCAACAAGTTACTTACGCAACAACAAAAAGATAAACGGTAACGAATACGAAAAAATGAAAAAGGTTTTTTAAAAAAACAACCAAAAAAACTGTACAACTTTTAAAATTAGAGACAAGTTAGGAATGTAGGTTATTGACTAGGTTAACTCTAGCAACCTGTTCGTCACAGAGTATGTTTGCTAGGTAAGGTATTATAGAACTTGTATACTTTTGCATGCGTGCATGGATTTTAATGTATTTACGTCTCGTTCTACCAGAAGATATACAAGGAGAAAGATAAGAGTGAAGGGGATGGCTAGTATCTGACAAAATAACACCTGCATGATTTTAAATGTCTATTCACAACCATATTATGACCTTGAAAGATTCACCACACATCTTGCTAACTGTCTTTAGCACGCTCTGCAATACAGCAAAGTCTTTCCTCAAAAGCCCGGGAAAGAATAATGGAGAACGGTAGAGAATAATAGGTAATATGCAAGAATTGACAAATTGTAAGAGTAAATGACGAGTAATTCTAAGAGCATGCAATCTCATTATGTAGTAGGTCAGACGGAAAACCTTTTTTGGTAACAATAAAACGTGGGAAGACCAAGACAGATAGGGGAAAAGGTGACACCAAGATAATTGACCTTCGACACTGTGTTTATCAAATAGTCTCCGATGGTACAAGCATTATGGGATCTCAAAATGGTGTTTAGATTCCGTTTATGTCTCATGCTAAAGTTAACAGCTTGACATTTAGACGGATTTAGTA